ATTGGGATCGTAGCGGCCCAAAAGGAAAGTTGGTCCGAGGTTCCAGCGCGGGGATAGGGGGGGGGGGGGGGGGGGTGGGGGGAGGAAGGGGGACAGTGATCTTCGCGCACTGACAACGTTTCTGCCAGGACCCTCGTCGACGACGCCACGGCATTAAGAATGCTTTCAAGACCTGTTTGTCAGCCAGTTTTGATCGGTTAAAACCGGCCGGCGGAAGCTATTTCAGCTAGCTATAGCCAGCCCAGCTGGCTGGTTAAAAAACAAAACAAAACATGGAATGGAAGCATATCAAACCATCGCTTGTTTCCTTTACCTTGTTTGATTTGCAACTGTAGCCTAGCTGGCGCTTCAGGATCACAGCCACGCTGGCGATTTGTGTTCGCCTCGTATCTGCTGTCGGGATGCCGACGGTGTGCCTCGGGCCTCGGCAGATGTGTGCAGCTCGGGAGAGGCCTGGGCGAGTCCGAGGGGCGCCGACCAGTGACGCGGGTCCAGAAGTACGTGTTCGGCCGCTACATGCAGTACCTGCACAAGTTCCAGCAGGTGCTGGAGAGCGAGTTCCCCGCCGCCTTCCGTCTCTACCGCGTGTTCACCGTGGGCGTCAGGGACTTCGTGCGGGACGCCAAGTCGTTCGCGCTATTGGCACGTAAGGTGAGTGCTAAACGCAGCGCACTGTCGTGCGGCGCTGGCAGGGTTCCTCTGTCACGTTGTCTTGTCACGCAAGGTTCGTGTCATATGTGAAAACAGACAGTGCTCCGCCGCGACGCAACCCAGGTCACTGTGCATAGGTTGGCGATCAGAACCGTGGCCACGTTTACAGCGGTGTTCCGCTTGACACAGGCTTGAGACCAGCCGGCCACATGGCTGGTTGGCGGCCGTGTGTGCCCCACGGTCAGCGCGGGCTGGTCTTCGGCGGCTTCCTCCTGGGGCTGCTCACGTGGGCCAATGCCGTGCGCCTTCACTCTCGCCCTGATTCGCCATTTTTCTTAACGCGGACTTTAAGGTGGGGGCCGATGCGACCCTCCTGTCGTTTCAAAGCTACGAAAGATGGAACTTTTTAAAACGCTGGTGAATTGATCTGAACGAAATCTTGCAACTTAGAATAAGATTATATAGTAAGGTCAATGACTGACTCCATTATGCGGGATGAAATGTCATATTTTCCTGAACGTCGAACATTTTTGCTTTGCTTGCTCACATGTACAAGATAATGTCTAATAGCGACACAAAACCCAAACAGCCGTGTTCTTCGTTCAGTTACGGGTATCATGATGTATTTTTCGGCGTGTGTTTTTACCATATATTGATGATTAATGGCTCCGCTAATGTAACAATGTTGGCCGCCACGCGCGTTCCGCGGCATCATCGGTTGCCGCCCGCCGCCCGCGCCGGCCGTAGATCGCCGTGCAGTGCTTATCAAAAACCGCCGCTGCTTCGAAATCAGAGATGTCATGGGCGCGCTTTTGGTGTCAAAACATGTGCAACTGATATTCCACGGGTTACTGAAATTTTAGACGCGATTGCCTGATATTCCGGAGAGGCATCCCCAGAAAACCTAAGGAGGGGAGAGAGGGGGACCCCCCCCCCATCGACCCCCCTTCTATCAGGGCGAGGGTTAAATAACACAGCCATGTGTCTTCTGCACGCCCATCCACGGTTCAGAAGACGATTGCCATACTTACGAAGCAGGACGGCTATGGCGTGATGTGGCGTCAGTCGTGAGCAGTGACGTGCTTTACCCCCGCTACTGCCATCCTGGTGCCCCACGCCAGCGTGCCCACCAAATCCGTCCCGGGACTGCTGACCAGCACCTCGTCAGACGTGCATCACGACTCGATAGCTCGCCCCGCCAGACCTGTCTGGTGACATGCCCTCATCGCCAATCCCTGGTATCGACCAGAGGCCTGTCGGCCCGATCTGTCTGATGATCCGCTCTCCTCCCCGACCCTCGGCGTCCGCCTGAGCCCCCTCCCCGTCGCCGGGTCTCACCAGACGCGGTCTCCGCAGGTCCACAGCACCGGGCTTGGCAGTCTGAGCCGGCGTGAGCTGGAGCTGTACTTCCGCACGCCGCGTGACATGCGCGCCGTGGCGCCCGTGCTGCTGGTGTCGGCCTTGCCGCTGGCACAGAACGTCGTCTTCCCCCTGGCGTGAGTGGCTTGAATGACGGCTGGTGCGCCGCTGGTGGCGGAGCCGCTGGCTGTCGGCGCTCGGGGGACACACACGCTCGGCTGTCGGCGCTCGGGGGACACACTCACTCGGCTGTCAGCGCTCGGGGGACACACTCGGCTATCAGCGTTCGGATGACACACTCGCTCGGCTGTCATCGCTCACACGAGCAGCTGACTCGTGCGTGTCCGCTACCATCAGGTACCTGTTCCCCCGCCAGCTGCTGTCGCGCCACTTCTGGTCCCTGCAGCAGCGCGCCGAGTTTGCCTTGCACGAGCACAAGAGGCGGCTGCTCTACATGCGGCCCGTGCTCAGGCATCTACAGGCAAGGTTTGGAAACTCGGATAAAGCTCGTCACTTCGCGGTGACGTTGGGGCAGATCAGGGGCCAACACAGTGGGTTTGTGGTAACAGCTTTGGGGTGTCGGTGCCTACCGCATCACTTGAACAACAGCGGACGCTGACTTCAAGTGCGTGGGTCAGTCGCCTGATGTCTCTCGACTGCAACCACGCACCTGGGACCGGGCTGCACAGCCGAGCATTGGCGCCAGATGGATCTATATTCACATGGCGCAGTTCACCCTTGTGTGGCTCGCGGTCAGCTGGTATCCATGACGTTATCGAGGCCCGGGAATCTGAGATTTCAAGCATGATCCAGTAAGCTAACTGTTGGATGCAGATTATGTGTAG